GCTCTTGAAACGCGTTGCTAGCACGGCTTGCTCTTCTGCTCCCCGAACAGAGAGATCATCGAGCTGGTGGCCTGGGTTATGCCGGTGTACATCGCCTTCCACCTGTTTGAAGCTGCTTGTGTGAGTGCCCCTTCTCTCTCCCACGTGGCGGCACGTGTCCCGGGCGGGTGGTGGAGGGGTCGGGGCGGTTCCCTCTGCTAAAGGCTAGCACCGCAAGCAATCTCAGGCTGGCAGATGGACAGAGAGGGAGGACTGCCTCGGAGGTAACGGGAGAGACCGGTCCAAGGGGAACTCCTTCAGAGCAGGGCTTGGAGTCGACCCACGTGGAGGGAAGATGAAAGCCTGGGGAGAGGAGGCAAGGCTGGGAACATCCAGTCCCTGCAGGGTTGCGATGGGTTCCCGGTGAGCCCGAGACAGCTGGGAGCGCAGAGGAAACTCGTAATAACTAGTGAGCGTCCCAGCTGCCGGGCGCTTGGTTAGGGGCTGCAGGCTCTCCCGGGGCATGGCTGGTCTATAGGAGCCACCAGCTGCCTGGTGGCAGCTCAGCCTCGAGGCGGCACGGGCTTCACCCCTGCGACGAGCGTCTCAGCGGGGTTTGACAGGGATCCGTGAAACCCAACAGCAGCACGTGGCCAGCCTGGACGGGCGCTGGGGGCTGCGTGGGGTCAGGGCTCTCACGGCCCCGCCACGTCCTCCCCGCAGTGCACCGCCGGCGGCGTGCTCCGGGGCTCGGGCAGGCAGAAGTTCGGGGCCATCCTGAACGCCATCGGCTACTACGTCGTGGGCCTCCCGGTGGCGATCCTGCTGCTCTTCGTGGCCCGGATCGGGATCATAGGTACAACGGCCAGAGCGGAGGGCAGAGAAAGGGCACCCCGGCACCCCCAGCGACGGGCAGGAGACGAGAGCAAAAAGTTCCCGGCTCGGACACCTCCAGCTGCACCCCACCGCCGGGGCTGCTGTTGTAACAGCAGAACACGTGTCTCTAAACCCCGCCAGAGCCGGCGCAGCGCCCCGTCTGCAAGGTGCAGAGCTGGGGCAGGTGTATCATTGGGCAGCCCCCTTTGTGGGCACGTATCCAGCACCCACTGAAATGCCCCTTGCAAGCCACGTTTGGCCCTGGCCCCTTTCCCCTCCTCAAAGCAGCGTGCCCCAGCGCCCACCCCTCCTCTAAGCCACTCTCGAAACCCCACCCGTCTTCCATTTCCCTCCAGCCTCCAAAAACACAATCCCAAACCCATCTCCGCCCCACCCCTGCAGCCTGACAACAAGCCCACCTCTTCCACCCACCCAAATATAGCCCCTTGGCTCCGCGCAGGCCCCCACTGCAACACTGATTTCCTTTGAACGCCCCCACCGTCACGCCTGCACGCAACCACGCGTACCCCATCCGGGCTGGCCTGGGCGGAGAGCGCGCAGGAGGCCTCCGAGCGGTCCGGGCTGCTCCGGGACACTGCCTGGCTGGGCTGCAGGTCGAGTCCGGATCGTCCTGCCTCCCTTGGGAACCTGCTTACAGCAACCTCAGCTGGTCAGTACAGGCGCGAAGGCCTGGATGGTGCGACGGGCCATGGTCGCTAGGTGGCAGCCTCAGGCTGCTCCTGCCCAGGTACAGCCCAAGTAGCAACCTGTTGCCCCCCTCACCTCCAGCATGGCCCCAGGTTTGCAAGGTCAGGAGGTTTTGGAGCCGTGTCCAGGCGCCGACTGCACCTGGCTAACCCCAGCCTTTTCTCCCCAGGCCTCTGGCTCGGCATGCTGATCTGCGCCTTCATCCCCTGCAGCTGCTCCATCGCCTACATCGCACGGATGGACTGGAGGAAGGCCTCCGAGGAGGTACCGGGGCTCTCGCATCACTCCCGTCACTGCTGAGCGCAGGCAGGGGCCAGAGCACGCCCGCACCGTGGGCCAGAGAGAGTTGTGGCTGTGAGAAGGGCCAAGACCGGGCAGGGGCCCTGGCCAGTGTCCTGTGCCAGATCAGTGATGGGTGGCCTGGCTGTGAGGGGAGATCAGGGGCTTTTACCTTGTGTGGATCCAGCTCGTTTTACACACACACTTGCTCCGCTCCGCAAAAGCTGGGTGAAGTCCCAGAGGAATCAGCGGGGAGGTTTGCAGCAAGCCGGTGCCCAGAAGCAGGGCCCAGCGAGGCACGGCGGGCTCCCCCTCGCCCTGCTCAGAGCTGCACAGATGCAGCGGCCAGGCTGGCAGACCCTGGAGCCGCCAAGCCCAGGAGAGGCACCGGCCCTGCTCTGCCAGGCACCGGCCAGGACACACGGGGAGCCTTGGCCGCAGCACGGACACTCGCTTCTCATCCGCCGCAGAGCAGAACGGCTCGAAATCCACGGCACGTCTGCCAGCGACCCGGGCTCTCGCGTGCTAGTCCAGCCACACACCGCTTATTGAGTCCCTCAGGGGCACAGTGAAGGCGGCAGTCGGGATAAAACACAGTCTAAACCTCTCCCCGCCCTTCAGGCCTGGCCCTGCTTGCACGGATGTGCTGCAAGCACCCACGCAACCTACAGGTTCACGCTCCTTTGGGATAACGATCCCGGCTGCCCGCCATCATCCCGAGGGGAAGCCAGCACGTTTGAAGCGTGGCCATCACTCGGTAGGACAAACGCGCTTTCCTTGCACCTCTCCCCCTAGGCTCAACAGCGGGCAGGCGTGAGCCAGCAGACGGCTGAGGATTTGAACACGGCTCCCATCCCTTCCAAGCAGGCTCCCCTCCCAGGTATGGGACAAGCGTGGCTGGTAACCGGGCAGCGTGGCTCCACCTGCCCACTCAGATCCCATCTCACTCAATGTTCATTTCATGAGAGGCCATTCACAGCAGCGCCTTAAAACGCCTGCTCTTCTGGCAGCCCCGGCAGGTTGTGCGTGGACGGGAGAGGAGCTTGGGTGAGGCTGTTCATGCAGCAGGCAGGAGGAGGGTTTCCGTGTTTTCCCCAGGAAGTTGTGCTGGGAATCAAAATACGAAGTGGGGGATAGGGGCCCTGGGGGCAGATTCAGCTTTGGGCAAGCCGATAACCCCCACGCAGCGGAGGGGGCTGCAGGGGGCTTAGAATAACTAATGCACTGTGAAGAGCAGAGAGGGCAGCAGGAGCCCCATCCCCGCCTGCTCTCGCGGACGACGTCGGGAAGGCGAGCTGAAAGGGCTTGCAGGGCTGTTCTTGCAGTTTGGGGAGGAGGGAGAAGCGGCTGCTCTCGCTGCGGGAAGCCGAGTACAGGGGGAGACAGGGGCCCTGGGAGAGGCAGAAACCCCACGCAGGGAGCAGGGCGGTATGAGCACCGATGCAGGCAGAGGCCCTGGAGAGGAGCGTCTCAAAAGCTCAGCAACCCCACAGCCCCTGCTCCTGAACCCACCCGCGTGCCCCAGGCGGGAGGTTACCTGCAGTAGCCTCCTGCCCACATTGCGTTCCAGGGGAGGCCGGGGCCCAGAACGGCGTCGTCCTGCTTGGCTTCACTAAGCTCGAGGGGCCGAGGCTCCAGGAAGCTGCTCCTGCGCGCACGCCTGCGGCCGAGGCTCTGTCTGTGAAACAGCTCGTCCTCCGGCGCGGGCTGGCAGTCGCTGCAGCCATTGCCGTCCTCATGCTCGGGGTGGCTGTAAGGGTCACGACTGCTCCCCACTGAGCAGGCTGGCCCAGAGACGGGGACTGGCGCTGAGCGCGCAGGGAGATCCCTTCCAACTCGCAGCCGGGAGCACACGGCGCCCAGGACTTGTCCAAGCAAAGTGGGGAGTCTCTATTTAACAGAAGATGGCATCTGACCTGAGCTAGGAGCTGCTGTCCAGGGGATTGTCTGCCTGCTATGAACGGGGATCTGATCCAACCGCTGGCAACACCCGAGTGGACAGAGCCAGGGCTGGCGAACCCTGTCACCACCGACTTCGCGGCAAGATGTGGGGCGGCACTAACTGCACCGTCCCACACTGGCGCAGTGACAACCCGTTGTTTAGCGATGAATAAACCCAGCCACCAAGCTCCTGCCTGCCTGCAGCGCCTTTGGTTTGCAGCTCACTTTAGGGCCTGCCTGGAGTCTTGGTCCCTCAAGCTTAGACACCAGCTTGCAGGGCTGCTCCGTAGCGGGGAGTCAGTGCAGGCCACTGCCTCGGCCTCCGCACGTGTGGAGGCAGACAAGCATATGCAGGTCTGAGCCTCAGTGTTTCAAAAGTAGAATTTCCTCGACTGGCTCCCTCCCCGCCAGGCACTGAGGGGGCTAAAGAAATGAATTCAACTTAAGCCCTGGGGGGCGGGGAGGTATTCATAAAACTTGCCCTCTTATATGGGAGGGCTTAAATAGG